GAATCTGAAAATTATCATACCTACAATGGACTCCGGACATGCAGCGGTTCTATAGGTCTTTCTGACAATACGACTAAGTTGCAAAAATAATATCCAACAACTTCCATCCAATGACCATATGAAAGGCAATACCATCTTGAGCTTAATACCGTAAAGAACTTTTAAGTTTTGCCGTAAAATATCTCTCTTGTCCATATTAATGAAAAATAGCATTTCAAGGAATGCAGAGCTTAATTCTTTGAGATGTCATCTAATTATAAAACAAATAAAAATACACTCATCTATCTACACTCTTAGCTCTCGGGACGATCTAAAATTAAGCGAAGATATTTTAAATGAGGGTATTCAGCACAGAAATGTTTGGGGGCCTGATGCACACGGTAATAGGAAGGCGGGTAATTACGATAGTCAAAGAAATGTATCAATATGGCTAGTTCATCAGAGGCTGAGTGAAATCACTCAACAAGTATGATTGGAAACGGATTTATGGATCCATGAGGTAAATTCTAGTTTAATTATACTCTAAAAATAATACATTTAGATAGTAAACGAGATATATTAAATTTTTCGTATTTAAGTAGAGTTTCGAATCTACCAGTAAATCAGTAATATGAGATGTATTCACCTTTATTTCGTTTCAGGTGATGAATGACTGGTAATAGAATTTTCCCACAATGTTATGAGTAGAGCTAACTTTTCCATTGAATTTCACATTGCCTTACTTTTCAAAAAGTTGTTCTCATCCAGGGTAAGGACAACTTTTGGGAAAGCAAGGCAATGTGAAATTCAATGGAAAAGTCGGCTCTACTCATAACATTGTGGGAAAATTCTACCACCAGTCATTCATAATCTTAAACGAAATAGATTGAATACGTCAAAGAGATATATTAAAGTTTTTTGTTCGCTCAAATTAAGTATTATATCCATTTCCGAAATGAACATCAATTGATGGTAAACTTTTAAAAATGACCTCGAATTAATGACATCAAAATTATCTCTGATGCAAGATACAGTACTTACTTTATTTAATTATGAATTATTTATTTTGTTTGCTCATTTTAATGTAGGCGTTAATACATACATATCACAGATTTAAAGTTAAAACTCACGGATCTCGGGGATATTCCTCCTTGTCAACCAAATATTGGTCGATATTACAGCTTATTTCGCGTTTCTTTAGCTGTCCTCTTAATATTTGTCTCTTTGCGATAATCGTATTCGATTCTACCTCACCTGCCTCTTCATTTTTTCCCTTTATTTCCAGATTTCTCTGAATGTTCCTTAACCCTGCATCATTTTGACACTTTTCATCCTTGAATACAGCATCTTCCTTCTCTTCTTTATCCTTTTCATCACTGTTGAATTCTTCTTTCGTTTCTTTGTGTTCAGTCAAGCTATCAGTCTCTAACATGTCATCTCTTGACGCCTGTGATGACCCCTCACAATCTGCAGCTTGTGCAATTATTTCGGTCACTGCTGTACCTGCCATCTGCAGAGAATGTCCGGCTCCATTTACCAATTCCATGCGTAACCGCCGGTCAAGTACTGCCGGCGGGGTCAGTACTTTGTTCACGACAGATACGGGAGCAGACCGATCATGGGCTAGTTCGAGGTTAGAAGCATCCAAAGCGCCCCTAGTCGAGATGGTGGAATTAGCGATAATGGCAGCATTATCGGGAATATTAGTGACAGCGGCGGTTGTAGCGGGGCTTGAAGTGGTATCCATGCTTGAGTTAAGTTTATTTATTTCCCATTCACACTGCGTATATGGCGCGCACCGACCCGAACCGATGGTATTGCATTCAGAATGATTTGCACTTTGTATCCATGTGGAATCCACTCCCTTAGGCTTTTCTGATTTGTAACTCTTCTCTGAACGGAATTCTGTGATAGGATCACACGCATGGCCGGAAGATATTACGTATTTCTCTGCTTTATGTGTATTCGTCGAAGGGGTAAATGTTTCGTCATCACATGGCCTTAAGCAAGCCCGAATTTGTAACATTCGCATCAATGGATTCGTAGAGTCGATAGAGAGGATCAATGGAGTCAGGCATGCGGGGCAATTCATTTCGAGATTTTCAGAGGTATCTAAAGTATGAAATGAAGAAGGATAGTTTTTTTGGCCACTATCTTTGAAGCCTGAGCTTGATAAGTCAGGTAGGCTTTTATCTTGCTCCTTCTTACATTGGTGAGACAGTGGTCTTAAAATTTCTTTCGTCTGCTCTTGTTGCAGACAGTGATTTTGCTCGTAAAATTGAGAATGCAGGACGGTGTATGGCATACTTTGTATCGGCTTATTTGCACTCGACTCGGGCCATGGGACTCCGCGTGAAACAAATTGGGCTTGAGGGTCATGTGAAGACTCGGGCTTATTGGAAGGAAAATCAAGCTCTCGGAAAGGGGTATCTGACCTTTCAACGTCGCATCGCATTCCAAATTTTCCTTGTTCTTGGGGCAGAGTCATACTGCTGTATTTGCAATCTAAGAACCGGCGCTATGTATAATAAAATAAAGAGGAAATTCATATATCTGAGTATCTGCAATTATTTTTGATTTAAAAGTTTCGGATTTCAGCAATATAAAGCTTGCCAAAACATGTTAAATGTGCTAAGTTGCCTTAGGACTGATTACCCTATTATCAGTAAATGATGGATTTAAGAGCACAGCAACAATTATAAAAATTAATTAATTTAGAGATTCGACAGCGAATGCTTTTAGGAATAAAATATGAGTTTCGTGGAACCCCTTTATTTATTTATTTTAGCGTATTCTTCATTTCGGTGAAAAACGAATGGAAGCATTTCATCTAATGGGCCTTATCGAGCACCAAACGTTTCTCCAAGAGTTAGGACTGCCTTAGTACATCATTTAACAGGCATCGCCAAAACGAGAAACCATCATTTTCGACAAAATTTAGCCACAAATGCTAAACTAAGAAGTGAGGTTGATTGAAATTCTACATGCTTTGTATACCTAATTTTCCTATCTTAATGAAGCTTTCCCTCTGCTTGCAGATCCGTGAAGTAAACGCATGGAATGGAGCAGATATAATTACAACTGTTTCATTGTGTAAAAATAGCTGAATCATTTATCAACTTTGTGACGCAGTACTCATTAATCAGATTACATGCCTGAGCCAAAATCATACTCTAGGAAGATCAGGCGTTCTCTCTCATTTAATGGCTTTAAATGCCATATCTCTCTCTCCATAATTCTAATTAATAACTAAAGTTATTTATTGCTTGATTTCCTTAGTGTTATTTCTATTTAAAATGTTGTTTTTTGTGTTCCTATTACTATATCATGTAAACCTAGGGATTTAGACCCTTATACATAAAGTCCAATGGAGACCATTTGTCCAACTACCTCTTATCTCGGGGGTCAGAAGAAGGCTTTATGTTAGGATATCCTTATATGCATGTGTTGACAAGTCTCGCCCATATAGACACTACTGCATGGACACAAAACCTTCTAACAAACTGATCAATACAGGACACTAGATAAAGGGGTATACATCCAAACATTTTGCAGGATGTGGGACGCTACTGCCAAGAAGAAGATTGTAGTCAACAGAATTTTTTTTAAATAAAAAAAATCTTGAATATAGAGAACGAATATAGGAAATTTAGCGACAAATTTCACTGGTTATTCAGTGGAATTAGGAAGAGAGGGATAAAACAGGTAAGATCACCATGTAAGAGGAATGAGCTTGATTATCATATGGTATGATTTTGGTTCTAATATATCATCTGACTCATGAATATTTTATATGCGAAGCTAAAAAATCCTCAGTATTGTACATATTTGAGTAAGGAAATAGTTGTGACCCCATATGTTCCCATTGTATGTATCAAAATTACTTCTCTTG